GTTATACTGAAGGCTACCTGGGGAATCTTTGTCTGTGTTGTCTAGGCGCACTTGCCCCAACGTTCTACTGAAGGCTACCTGGGGGATCTTTGTCTTTGTCGTCTAGGCGCACTTGCCCCAATGTTCTACTGAAGGCTACCTGGGGGATAATTGTCTTTGTTGCTTAGGCGCACTTGCCCCAACGTTCTACTGAAGGCTACCTGGGGGATCTTTGTCTGTGTTGTCTAGGCGCACTTGCCCCAACGTTCTATTAAAGGCTACCTGGGGGATCTTTATCTTTGTTGTCTAGGCGCACTTGCTCCAATGTTCTACTGAAAGCTACCTGGGGGATCTCTGTCTTTGTTGTAGAGGCGCACTTGCCTCAACGTTCCACTGAAGGCTACCTGGGGGATCTTTGTCTTTGTCGTCTAGGCGCACTTGCCCCAACGTTATACTGAAGGCTACCTGGGGGATCTTTGTTGTCTAAGCGCACTTGCCCCAACGTTATACTGAAGGCTACCTGGGGGATCTTTGTCTTTGTTGTCTAAGCGCACTTGTCCCAACGTTCTACTGAAGGCTACCTGGGGGATCTTTGTCTGTATCATCTAGGCGCACTTGCCCCAATGTTCTACTGAAGGCTACCTGGGGGATCTTTGTCTGTGTTTTATAGGCGCACTTGCCCCAATGTTCTACTGAAGGCTACCTGGGGGATCTTTGTCTGTGTTTTATAGGCGCACTTGCCCCAATGTTCTACTGAAGGCTACCTGGGGGATCTTTGTCTTTGTTGTAGATTGGCCGCGCACGCGCAGTGACCCCGAGGAGGAGGGGGAGGGGGCGGGGGGGGGCCGGCACGCGCCATGGAGGTGAAGGCGGCGGGGAGGGGGACGCGGGGGGCGCGGGGGAGGGGCGGGGGAGGGGCGGGGGGGCGGAGGCCGCTGGGGGAGTCGTTCCACAACGAGCGGGAGGAGGAGGAGGAGGCGGTGATGAAGAGGAGGAGGAGGGTGCGTCCAGAACCTGTAGCGGTGTGATCACTGTGTGTGTGTGTGTGTCACTGTGTGTGTGTGTGTGTCACTGTGTGTGTGTCACTGTGTGTGTATGTCACTGTGTGTTTCACTGTGTGTGTGTGTCACTGTGTGTGTCACGGTGTGTGTGTGTCACTGTGTGTGTCTCAATAATAACGGTAGGAGGCTGCTAGATTTTTGTGCAGCCCATGGGCTTGTAATTACCAACACGCTCTTCCGGCATCGGCGCATCCACACAACATCATGGATACATGCCGGGTCCAAGCAAGAACATCTGCTGGACTACATAGTGACGGACCAGCGGATGCGAGCCCATGTCCTTGACACCATGACCTACCGTGGAGCTGATCTGCCCTCTGACCATCGACTAGTCATCTGTAAGATGCGCCTGCCTTTCTTCCACTCCGGTGGTGGGTGTACACCCAGGATCCCATTCCAACCAAAAGTGGCCTGGTCTCAGTTAGCTGATGAAAGTTGCAAGCGAGAATTTCATCATCGCGTGCAGCTGGGGTTGGCATCGTCCCCCACTCCACCTGATGTCGAGGGTAAATGGGCGAGGTTTAAGACTGTGACTCATGCAGCTGCAATGGCTGCTTTGGGTACGCGGTCCAGACCTCCCCAGAAACCCTGGCTGACAGAGGAGGTGTTCAGGTTAATTGAGAAAAAGCGACAGGCCCACTCTCATCGCCTACAGCATCCCACGTCAGAGAATGAGGAGGTTTACCGCAGCCTTCGCTCGGAGGTTCGGAGAGCCGTAAGGCGCTGTAAGGATGGGTGGTGGTCGCGGGTTGCTGAGGAGATGGAGTCTGCCTCAGTGGCCCGCGATCACAAATCGCTATTTAACTCCATCAAAAAAGTAACCTGCAGCGCCACACCTATTACCATCATTAGAGGAAAAAACGGTGATCCAATCTCCGACCCCCAGGAACAGGTTTGCGGATTTGCTGAGCATTTCTGTGGGGATAACCCTGCTGAGGCTGCGGTGGCTCAAATATTGGAAGAGATCACCCCCTGTGAGTGGCTGGCTGAGGTACCAGCTGTTGAAGAAGTACTGAGGGCGATCCGGAGTCTGAGACCAGGGAAGGCACCGGGCAGAGATGATCTCCCAAGCGAAATGCTGAGGGAGGGTGGCGTTTGTGCACAGACTGCCCTATATGACATCATAACAACAGTCTGGACCACTGGACGGGTTCCGCAGGACTGGAAGGATGCCCTGGTGGTCCCCCTCTTTAAGAAGGGGGACCGTACCGACTGTAACAACTACAGGGGCATCTCACTTTTCAGTGTGCCGGGTAAGGTCCTGGCAAGGATTATTCAACATCGCCTTGCTTGGCACGCTGAGGAGAGGCTTGCGGAGCTCCAATGCGATTTCAGGAAAGGGCGGTCCTGCACAGATGCCATATTTTCTGTCCGTCTGCTACAGCAGAGGTGTAGGGAATTCCAAAAAGACCTACATCTCTGCTTTATTGACCTGGTCAAGGCCTATGATGCCATCAGTAGGACTGGGCTCTGGGTTGTTCTTCATGCTTTCGGAGTCCCTGACCCTCTGCTCACGATCATTAAGGACCTTCATGATGGTGAGCGGGCCCGGGTAAAACTACGTGGCCGGGAGTCGGAGCCTTTCCCTGTACACCTTGGGGTGCGACAGGGATGTCCTCTGGCTCCCACATTATTTAACATCTATTTCGACTGCGTAGTTCGTGAAGCCTTCAATAGCTGTACCGGGGGAATTTCCATTTGGTACAGATATAATGGGAGGCTGATCGACGCCCGGGTGCGATCAAGGGATGGCTCCCTATTGGTCAACCACGTTATGTATGCCGATGATTTGGTAATAGCTGCTCATTCAGAAGAGGAGTTGGAGACGCTGCTGCTGAGACTGGAGCGTGCCACTAAAAGGTGGGGCCTTACCATCAGCCCCACCAAAACTAAGCACCTGCCTGGGTATTTTGTACCATCGGGCACTCCACCCTCACAATTCCCAATCAGTGATGGGGCAGTTGTGGAGAGAGTGGAGAGTTTCCCACACCTGGGCAGTGTGTACCTGACCGGCTCCAGTTTAACAGCAGAGGTCTCACTCCGAATCAGTCGAGCGGCATTATCTTTTCATCGGTTGCATAACGCTGTGTGGAAGCTACCTGGTCTGTCGCTCCGCACGAAGCTACGGGTCTTCTCGGCCACAGTCATTCCCTCCCTTCTCTACGCTTGTGAAACGTGGACCTCTCCAAATGGAACACCTTCGCCGGTTCGAAATATTTAGGCTGGCCTGCCTACGATCTATCCTGGGTTTAACCAGGCTGGATATTGTGAGGAGCTCACAAATCCTTGAAAGATCTGGACAAAGTCCCATCGGTGAGCTCCTCCCGCAGGCAAGGCTGCGTTGGCTGAGTCATGTAGTCCGCATGCCCAGCCACCGCATGCCCAAACAGCTTTTGTTCGGCCGGATCGAGAGGGCTAAACGGGCTCAGCACGGGCTAGAGAAGAGATGGAGTGACGTGGTACAGGAGGACATGGAGCTGAGTGGACTTGCCGATGACTGGTACCAGCGGTGTCAAAATCGGCCTCTGTGGAGGAGGCTCGTGAAGGACGCTACTGGGCAGTTGGAGGCAGTCGCCCTCCAACAACAAAAGAGGGCGGAGGAGCGATGCTCACAACAACGAGCGGAGCGCCGGATGGCAAAAGCCCAGCAAGTTGGCACAGTAGGGGGCACAGGTGGTGCATCAGCCACTCATCTCGGTCATCTCAGTCAGTCGACCCGTGGCACCTGCTGGGTCTGCCCCGTGACCTCCTACCTGAGGGCGTTCGACAATTAACGTGGCCTCAAGGTGCACATAGCCTGGCACAAACGTCGTGGTGACGTCACTGCCACTTAGTGGCGAATGGCGGTTGTTGTTGTTGTACCTGTGTGTGTGTAGTTCCTGTGTGTGTGTTCACTACCTGTGTGTGTATTCACTACTTGTGTGTGTGTGTTCACCACCTGTGTGTGTTCACCACCTGTGTGTGTGTAGTTCCTGTGTGTGTGTTCACCACCTGTGTGTGTTCACCACCTGTGTGTGTGTAGTTCCTGTGTGTGTGTTCACCACCTGTGTGTGTGTTCACCACCTGTGTGTGTGTAGTTCCTGTGTGTGTGTTCACCACCTGTGTGTGTGTTCACCACCTGTGTGTGTAGTACCTGTGTGTGTAGTACCTGTGTGTGTGTTCACTACTTGTATGTGTGTTCACTACCTGTGTGTGTAGTACCTGTGTGTGTTCACCACCTGTGTGTGTGTGTTCACCACCTGTGAACACACACACACAGGGGGGGTCTGACTTTTTGTGACGCCGTGTGACGAGGCGGGGGGTCAAAAATCGTCCAACATTGCGTGACGTCACTTATGGCCGTGACCGCTCGGGTCACCGCAGATGAGGTAGCGGAAGCCGAGTGGCCCACAGTCGGATAAGATTTGAAGCTTTCGTGACTGCAGGAATCCACTCTCATTGGTTCTTTCGGTAAAGTCACGTGGGTAGAGAACAAATCACGACGTTTCGATCGCAACACAAGCAGTCGTCGCCTGGTGGGAACAACCACAGCGAGACAAAATTGCTCAAGTGGGCGAGAGAGCCCCCCCTTTGATACCCACGTAACCTCTCGCCCACTTCAGCAATTGTGTCTCGCTGTGGTTGTTCCCACGTGATTATGGGCGCTCGTGTTGCGCCCGAAACGTCGTGACGACTTGTTTCATTTTATTTTGTATCCAACTGCGTGACTTTACCGAAAGAACCAAAGAGTGTGAGGAGGATAAGAATTCCCGACAGCGGCGGTCGTCACAGCAGCAGCAGCAGCAGCGTCGGCGGGAATGAGCGGGACCGGACTATCAGGCACAAGTCTTCACGGCGGATCGGTGCGATCCCAACGATGAGATCCCACCGGTGAGATTTCACCGGGGAGATCTCACCGGTGAGATCCCACCGGAGCGATCTCACCGCCACGCACGCTTCCGGCTGTCCGCGACGGTGCCGATGTACAAGAAACATCGCAGGGTCGTCATGGAGCCTCTGGGTGATTCGGTGTCCCCTGTGCAGGTCACGTGCCGAGGGAGAGAGGAGGGGGCGAGGTGCGGGTGGGGGGAAGAAACGCGGGGGGCACGAGGTGAGACCCCACCCCTCAGTCACACACTCAGTCACACACTCAGTCACTCTCTCAGTCACACACTCAGTCACACACTCAGTCACTCACTCAGTTACACACTCAGTCACACACTCAGTCACTCACTCAGTCACACACTCAGTCACACACTCAGTCACTCACTCAGTCACACACTCAGTCACACACTCAGTCACTCACTCAGTTACACACTCAGTTACATACTCAGTCACGCACTCAGTCACTCAGTCACACACTCAGTTACACACTCAGTCATACACTCAGTCACACGCTCAGTCACTCACTCAGTCACACACTCAGTCACACACTCAGTCACTCACTCAGTCACACACTCAGTCACTCACTCAGTCACACACTCAGTCACTCTCTCAGTCACACACTCAGTCACTCACTCAGTCACTCTCTCAGTCACACACTCAGTCACACACTCAGTCACTCACTCTCTCAGTCACACACTCACTCAGTCACACACTCAGTCACACACTCAGTCACACACTCAGTTACTTACTCAGTCACACACTCAGTCACTCTCTCAGTCACACACTCAGTCACACACTCACGCAGTCACACACTCTCTCAGTCACTCTCTCAGTCACACACTCTCTCAGTCACTCTCTCAGTCACACACTCAGTCACACACTCAGTCACTCTCTCAGTCACACATTCTCTCAGTCACAGACTCACTCAGTCACTCTCTCAGTCACTCACTCAGTCAGTCACTCACTCAGTCACACACTCAGTCACGCACTCAGTCACACACTCTCTCAGTCACACACTCAGTCACTCACTCAGTCATACACTCAGTCACACACTCTCTCAGTCACACACTCAGTCACACACTCTCTCAGTCACACACTCAGCCACACACTCTCTCAGTCACACACTCTGTCAGTCACACACTCTCTCAGTCCCACATTATGATGGTGATAATGGTGTTGATGGTAGTGTTGATGGTGGTGCTGGTGAAGGTGCTGATGATGATGGTGGTGGTGATAATGGAAACGATGGTGATGATGTTGATAGCGACGGTCATTATGATGGTGCTGATGATCATGGTGCTGATGGTGTTAATGGTGCTGATGGTGATGATGGTGATGATGATGGTGCTGATCGTGATGATGATGGTGCTGATGGTGATGATGATGGTGCTGATGATGGTGCTGGTGATGGTGCTGGTGATGGTGCTGATGGTGCTGATGATGGTGCTGATGGTGCTGATGGTGCTGATGGTGGTGCTGATGGTGCTGATCGTGATGATGATGGTGCTGATGGTGCTGATGATGGTGCTGGTGATGGTGCTGGTGATGGTGCTGATGGTGTTGATGTTGATAGCGACGGTAATTATGATGATGGTGCTGCTGATGTTGATGTCGGTGACGTTGGATGTTTCCAGGCCTGGCGACCATCAACTCGAGTGTGTGGCACGAGTTGGGGCCTCGGGGAGCGGAGAACTCCGCGGAGTTCCAGGTGAGACCCGGCCTCGGGGTCGATGATGTGCAGCTTTCTGTTGAGTGGTCCTCGTAGTGGTGCTGCTGGTTGTGAAGGTGGTATTGGTGGTTGTTAGATGTGGTGGTAGTGGTTGGAGTGGTGCTGGTGGTGGTAGTGGTGGTGGTGGTAGTGGTGCTGCTGGTGGTGGTAGTGGTGCTGCTGGTGGTGGTAGTGGTGGTGATAGTGGTGGTGGTGATTGGAGTGGTGGTGATAGTGGTGGTGGTGGTTGGAGTGGTGGTGATAGTGGTGATAGTGGTGGTGGTGATAGTGGTGGTAGTGGTGGTGGTGGTGGTAGTGGTGGTGGTGGTAGTGGTGGTGGTTGGAGTGGTGGTGATAGTGGTGGTGGTTGTAGTGGTGATAGTGGTGGTGGTAGTGATGGTGGTGGTGGTAGTGGTGGTGATAGTGGTGGTGGTGATAGTGGTGGTGGTGGTGGTGATAGTGGTGGTGGTGGTGGTGATAGTGGTGGTGGTGGTTATGGTGTGGAGTGGTCGTGTAGTGGTTAGCGCTACGCTGCGCTATGGACCTGGCGAACCGAGTTCGATTCCTGCTCATGGCCAACACCACTAGTGACGATGATCTGAGCCGGTCCTGGGCCTCCCCTAGGTCGACTCAGCCTCAAATTAGTATCTGGGTCGGTGTCTAATAAACATCGTCACTTTGGAGACAAAGGCAGCTCGGCGTGGTGCCGGCCTTCATAGGTGCTCGCTAAGAGCACTTGCCCCAATAGTCTGTGAGTGCGGTGTGAGTGTGGTGCTGAGTGGGTGGCTGTGTGAGTGGCTGAGTGAGTGCGGTGTGAGTGAGTGCGGTGTGAGTGTGGTGCTGAGTGAGTGGCTGTGTGAGTGCTCTGTGAGTGAGTGTGGTGCTGAGTGAGTGAGTGGCTGTGTGAGTGAGTGGCTGTGTGAGTGAGTGGCTGTGTGAGTGCGGTGTGAGTGTGGTGCTGAGCGAGTGAGTGGCTGTGTGAGTGCGGTGTGAGTGTGGTGCTGAGTGAGTGGCTGTGTGAGTGCGGTGTGAGTGTGGTGCTGAGTGAGTGAGTGGCTGTGTGAGTGCGGTGTGAGTGTGGTGCTGAGTGAGTGAGTGGCTGAGTGAGTGGCTGTGTGAGTGGCTGAGTGAGTGCCGTGTGAGTGTGGTGCTGAGTGAGTGGCTGTGTGAGTGAGTGGCTGAGTGAGTGGCTGTGTGAGTGAGTGGCTGAGTGAGTGGCTGTGTGAGTGGCTTAGTGAGTGGCTGTGTGAGTGAGTGGCTGTGTGAGTGTGGTGTGAGTGTGGTGCTGAGTGAGTGGCTGTGTGAGTGCGGTGTGAGTGTGGTGCTGAGTGAGTGAGTGGCTGTGTGAGTGCTCTGTGAGTGAATGTGGTGCTGAGTGAGTGAGTGGCTGTGTGAGTGCTCTGTGAGTGAGTGTGGTGCTGAGTGAGTGAGTGGCTGTGTGAGTGCGGTGTGAGTGTGGTGCTGAGTGAGTGAGTGGCTGTGTGAGTGCAGTGTGAGTGTGGTGCTGTGTGAGTGCTGTGTGAATGAGTGGCTGTGTGAGTGCGGTGTGAGTGTGGTGCTGAGTGAGTGAGTGGCTGTGTGAGTGCGGTGTGAGTGTGGTGCTGAGTGAGTGAGTGGCTGTGTGAGTGCAGTGTGAGTGTGGTGCTGTGTGAGTGCTGTGTGAATGAGTGGCTGTGTGAGTGTGATGCTGAGTGAGTGAGTGGCTGAGTGAGTGGCTGAGTGAGTGCGGTGTGAGTGTGGTGCTGAGTGAGTGGCTGTGTGAGTGAGTGGCTGAGTGAGTGGCTGTGTGAGTGAGTGGCTGAGTGAGTGCGGTGTGAGTGTGGTCCTGAGTGAGTGGCTGTGTGAGTGAGTGGCTGTGTGAGTGAGTGGCTGAGTGAGTGCGGTGTGAGTGTGGTCCTGATTGAGTGGCTGTGTGAGTGAGTGGCTGAGTGAGTGGCTGTGTGAGTGAGTGGCTGAGTGAGTGCGGTGTGAGTGAGTGTGGTGCTCTCTGAGTGCGGTGCTCTCCGTGTCTCCTGTGCGAGCCGCAGGGCGCTCTGCTGGACGCCGCTGCCGTGGAGCTCGGCTTGAACCTCACGGCCATGAGGGCCCCCAGCGGCTTCCCGGCCCTGCTGCCCACTCCAGGTGAGGCGACGGCACTCGGTCACCACCCCGGTGGACAAACCATGTCGTGGTGGTGGTAGTGGTGGTCGTGGTGGTGGTAGCGGACCGCTAAATGCACGTGGTAACGTGGTAATGTGGCCACGTGGTAACGGTCTGCATCTGTGCGTAACGCACTCCCCCCCCACCCCCCAGAGCCGACTCCTCCTCTGCTGCTGCTGCCGGCGGAAATGGCGGAGTTGGAGGCGCAGCTGGAGATGGGCGCCGTGGGGCTGGGCCTGGGTACAGAGGGGCCGCTCCATGGCCTGGACGGCCAGGTCATGGAGCTGGGGCCCTCCCTGGGCCTGGACTCCGCGCTGGAGCTGGCGGGGGGAGACGCAGAGAATGAGGATGTGCGGGGGTTCGACTCCACGCCGTGGGGCGGAGACGAGAAGGAGGAGGGTGAGGAGGTGCGGGGGTTCGACTCCACGCCATGGGGCGGAGACGAGAAGGAGGAGGCGGCGGCGCTGCAAGAGGCGCTTGGGGAAAACCGGCAGGTAGGGCCGTGGGCTGACGCGCTGCGCCATGATCCTGGCGGAGACCCGAATTTGTGGCCACGACGGCCACCAACACAGCGGCGATTTGTCTGAACAATCGGTCCTGGGCCTTCCCAAGTTCGACTCAGCCTCAAATGCGTCGTAAACATCGCCAACGGGGAGACAAAGGCGGCCGGGCGCGGTGGTGGCCACCCACCCTCACGTGTGCTGTGCCAGCCTTCGTAGGTGTCACTCACTATCGGCAATTGCCCCAACAGTCTGTGAAGGCTACACGAGGGATCTTTGTCTTTGTGTGCACGACCATCGATCATCGCTCCTAAAGTGACGTCATCCAATGCCACGTGGCACCGTTTTTGGCAGGAGAAGCGCCTTTCTGACATCATAATAGCACCACTACTTTGTGTTCTCTGAATTTAATCTCGATTAAAACGGAACTTTTCAGATTAATAAGGCTGTTTGTATTAATCTGAAAATTTTGTTTAATTAATCAAACATTTCAAACATAACCTGACTATTGTACAATACACACACACAATTCACCAACATCACAACAACAGCCGCCATTCGCTACTAAGTGGCAGTGACATCACCAAGGCGCTTGTGCCAGGCTAGGTACACTTTAGGTCCACGTGAAATGTGGAAGGCTCACTGCTGGAAAGAGGCCACGGGACAGACTCAGGTGTTATGGGTTGACTGACTGACATGATTGGCAAATGCACCACCTGTGCCCCCTACTGTGCCACCAAGCTGTATTTTATCCACCCCACGCTCTGCTCGTTGTTGTGAGTGTTGCTCCCCTATCCTCCGTTGTTGCTGGAGAGCGACTGCATCCAACTGCCCAGTTGCAGCGTCCTTCAGATCCTCCTCCAAAGAGGCCAATCTTGACACCGCTGGTACCAGTTATTGGCAAGTCCAAATCCTTCTGTACGGCATCTGTCCATCTCTTCTCTGTCCCGTTCCACTCACTCACCCAGTCACCTATTCACTCACCCACTCGAACATCAAACCATCTCTACTCTAGCCTGTGCCGTGCTCGTTTAGGCTGGGCATGCGGGCCGCATGACCCGTCCAACACCACCTGCGCCTGCGGAGGAGCTCACCGATAATAGGGACTGTTTCAAGATCTTTAAAGTATCACAAACACCCACACGGTACATCAAAGACCCCAGTGTAGGCAGTAACACACGACCGTTGGGGCAAGTGGTGTAAGTGAGTAATAACGCCGATGAAGACCGGCATGGCATGCGAGGGGGTGGGTGGCCAGCACCACACCCGACCGCCTTTATCTCCCCCAGTGGTGAGATTTACACATCATAACAGGTACTCATATGAGGCTGGGTCGACCGTACATCAAACGCAAAATGTGACCCATGCACAAATACACGCTGCACAATGCAATATAATCACAATTTAGAAATCTTAAATTGTTTTCTCCACGAAGACCAAAGTCGTGCTGGGAACCATCACAGCCTCTGCTTGGCTCAGAGCAGCTGGTCGCGTCTAAGTACGTGTGTCTGCATTGTCGCACATATTTAGCACGACTGGCTGTTCTGTACAGGCGCTTGCTGGCTGACTTGCGTCAGGCGGATGGAGGTTTATAATCCCAGGTGAGTGGAGTTTGTCCCTGGCCTGCAATAACGTTGAGTCCATTCACCAATCAAGTCCTCCTGCATCAATGAATTCTAGGGTTGCTGGTGCTATGGTATGGTGTCACAGGCGACATTATCCACGGCGCGGCCTCCCCACCACCACTGCCCATACATTGTGCTCTGAGGACTCCAGGGTGGTAACGCTGTCCTTGGCTGTGACTCCGTGGTGTGGCTCTCTGGTGTGGCTCAGCGTGGCTCTAACTCTGCGCTGTGGATCTGCGTGGCTCCCGTGCAGCTGAGCGCTGCACTGGAGCGGAGGGACGCTGAGGCACGGAGGCTGCGTGCCAGGAACTCGCGACTCCGCCAGCTGGCAGAGAGCGCACGGACACTGAGCGCCACGCTGGAGGTGAGGTGCCACGGAGAGGTGCACTCACTCACTCACACTCACTCACACTCAACAACAACCGCCATTCATCACTAAGTGGCGGTGGCGTCAGCACGGCACTTGTGCCAGGCTATGTGCACATTGAGGCCACGTGAAGTGTCGAATGCCCGCCGGCAGGAGGTCACGGAGCAGACCTAGGTGCCACGGGTCGACTGACTGAGACGACTGGTCGATACACCACCTGTGCCCCCTACTGTGCCAACTTGTCTTTTAGCCACCCGGCGCTCTGCTTGTTGTTGTGAGCGCGGCTCTTCCGCCCTCCGTTGTTGTTGGAGGGCGACTGTCTCCAACTGCCCAGTAGCGTCCTTCACGAGCCTCCTCCACAGAGGCCGATCTTGACACCGCTGGTACCGGTCATCGGCAAATCCACTCAGCTCCACATCCTCTTGTACCACACCACGCCATCTCATCTCTAGCCCATGCCGCGCCTGTTTAGCCCCCTCTCTTTAGCCGAACAAAAGCTCTTTAGGCATTCGGTGGCTGGGCATGCAGGCTACATGACCCAGCCAACGCAGCTTTGCCTGTCGGAGGAGCTCACCAATGAGACTTTGTTCAGATCGTTCAAGGATTTGTGAGCTCTTAATACAATCCAGCCCGGTTAAATCCAGGATGGATCGTTGGCAGGCCAGCCTAAATGTTTATAACCAGCGAAGATGTTCCATTAGGGGGGTCCACGTTTCACAAGCATAGAGAAGGAAGGGCATGACTGGCCGAGAAGACCTTAAGCTTCGTGTGGAGTAGCTTCCACACTGCATTACGCAACCGATTAAAAGGCAATGCTGCTCGGCTGATTGGGAGTGAGACCTCTCCTGTCAAACCGGAGCCGTTCATGAGCACACTGGCCAGGTATGGAAAACTCTCCACTTTCTCCACAATTTCCCTATCACCAATTGGAAGTTGTGGGGGTGGAGTGTCCGATGGTACAAAATACCAAGGCAGGTGCCTGGTTTTGGTGGGGCTGATGGTAAGGCCCCACCTCTTAGTGGCATGCTCTAGGTTCAGCAGCAGCGCCTCCAACCCCTCCTCTGGGTGAGCAGCAATTGCCAGATCATCGGCATATGTAACATGGTTGACCAAAAGGGAGCCATCCCTTGACCACACCCGGGCATTGATCAGCCTCCCATTGTATCTGTACCAGATGGAAATTCCTCAGGTATAGCCATCAACGGCTTCACGAACTACGTGGTCGAAATATATGTTAAATGATGTGGGAGCCAGAGGACATCCCTGTCGCACACCAAGGTAAACAGGGAATGGCTCCGGCTCCCGGCCACGTAGTTTTATCCGGGCCCGCTCACCGTCATGAAGGTCCTTAATGATCGTGAGCAGAGAATCAGGGACTCCGAAAGCACGAAGAGTAACTCAGAGCCCAGGCCTACTGATTGTATCATAGGCCTTGACCAGGTCAATAAAGCAGAGATGTAGGTCTTGTTGGAATTCCCTACACCTCTGCGGTAGCAGACGGACAGAAAATATGGCATCTGTGCAGGACCGCCCTTTCCTGAACCCACATTGGGGCTCTACAAGCCTCTCCTCAGTGTGCCTGGCAAGGCAATGTTCAATAATCCTTGCTAGGACCTTTCCTGGCACACTGAGGAGTGAGATGCCCCTGTAGTTATTATCGTCTGTACTGTTGTTATGGTGTCATGTAGTGCATTCTATGTACAAACGCCACCTTTCCTCAGCAATTCGCTTGCAGATCATCTCTGCCCGGTGCCTTTTCTGGTCTCAGACTCTGGATCACCTTCAATAATTCTTCAACATATGGCACCTCAGCTAGCCACTCACAGGGAGTGACTTCTTCCAGCCTCCCCTGTGGCTCTCCGTCACCGATGCGACCCAGCAAAGAACACCAACAGATGAACAGTACAAGGACAATGCAAACTCCAACGCATTAGTATTTCAGGATAAGCAGTTTATCTCTTGTCGGCCGACGAAGAGGCGGCACTACCAACAATAGTTTTGCAGTTCTTTATAGATTGAGATGTTTCCAGCCAACTCGTGATGAGCGGTTACCATTCATGTGGACCGGAGCGCCCAGTTAAACCCCAGGGAGCAACACTGTGTGTCACACTCTGATCCACCGCACTCTGCAGTGCACTGCCCGCGCCTCTGATTAACGTGGTTTGTTATGTACTGTGAAAAAGAAGTTCAACAAAAATACATTGCCTCCTTATTGACCTCCCTCCCTCCCCACACAGAATCTGTCCCAGGAGTGGGCAGGGCTGGCTGAGTGTCCCCGGCAGCCGGAGCAAGGCCTGAGTGGCCAGGCCGTGAGTCGTGCCGAGGGCCGCATGAGGGACCTGCTGGAGGAGGCATCGCGCTGCGTCCTGCAGCTCGACCCCTCCTCCACCTCCTCCTCCCTCTTCCCTCCTTCCCCCTTCACCCTCTACCCCCCTCCTCCTCCTCCGCACTCCTCCTGCCTCACTCCTCCCAGGGAGCCCAAACGCCGCCGCCTCGAACGGGGGGGCGGCCCCGAGGTGGCGAGCGACCGCTCGTGCCGGCGGCTTCGCGGCAGCGACGCCCGCGCCGCCGACCGCGACGCCGCCGACGTCGCCGTCGACGCCGCGGCGAGGCGCGCGGTTGGGGGTGGCCCCCCCCCTCCCCTCTCTGCCCCCGCGCTGCACGGCCGCTTCGCGGGCTTTGTGACGACGTCGCCGCCGCGAGCGATGCTCCGGGAGCCCGGGGGAGACGACGAGGGAGGGGGAGCGGGGGCGGCCGGGTTCCGCGCGAGCGTCCGCGAGCACGGCACGGCCAGGACGCTCGTCTTCCGGCGCGCCATCGCGCTCGTGGCCTGGGCCGCCGCGGAGGGCCGCTACCGCTTCCGCTGGCAGCCCACGTGAGCCACGCACTTGTGGTCATCACCGGTGTGGACGTCGTGGACATCATCGTTGGTGTCAATACCCAGGAACTCACGAACCCAGACTAGGAACACATGAACCCGGAATAGGAGCTCATGAACCCAGACTAGGACCTCACGAACCTGGACTAGAACCTGGAGCAGGGTGCTTGGCGTGGGGCTGCCCCTCAAGAGCATGGGTCCGGACCGCTTTAGAAGCTGCACTTTGGTCACAGGCGTGTGGAGTGGTGACGAGGCTGGCTCCCGTAATGGGAATGTGGAAATCCTACCGCTGGCTCGTCGCCCGCGCAGGATCAACCACCTCTCCTCAAGCGGGGGTCCCTGACGAACGCTTGGCAAGAGACCTCGTCAATGACTGCCACATGACATCAGTAAACCTATTACCCCGATGCTACATATTAACTTATTGCCTAATTTATTTTCGTATTTATTTTCTGCCCCCCAAAGATCAAGTAACGTTTTGCCAAGGCAAATAGCATTTACAGGTCTTTGTTGTGTGATGCAAGCTGTACTTGTGTAGTGTCAGCCTTCGCACTCTCCCTAGTCATCTAGCCTCGCCTTAACACCACCCTGACCGTGTTGCACCGATGGTGCCGACAGGGACAGCCAGCAACTGTCCAGGGGTGCAATATCTCGTGGAGATGGCAGCGATAAAGGCGTCGAAGATGAAGACGACGACGACGAGACGAGTCCACTTCCCAGAACCGGCAGCCACGAGCTCGCGCTCTCAGCCGCTTTCATGCTACCCGGCGCGGCCTGGCTCTGCCCTGGCCGCGCCTCCCTTCTCGAACGCACGAGTGGGTTCCAGGGGCTTCCAGATGACCCTTGCCCCAGTTCCTCTGCCCTGCCAACACACCCGCGTATATGCTCATCGGCGTGTGTACTGCTCTTCCACCGCAGTTGCCGTTGCTGAACAACAGTCGACGCTATTACAATACACTTGTATAAGCTATTGTAGAGCTAGAATCTTCATAGTCGTGATCATAATAACAATATATCTATGTACACCTGGCGTGTGAGTAAATGTGTGCACTTTAATTTATCGGTGCTTTTGTGCAAATTTTAATAAATTATTTGGTAATTTTTCGTTGGTTAACACTGTGTTCATACTGCTGCTGTCATATATTGGGTGCCAGAGTCCAAGTGAGTGCAGCAATTCCTCGAAATGACAAAATTATGGATTTCAAAAATTTAATTTGTAGGTGAACGAAATTTTAGATGGCAAGTACCATGAGAACAAAATGGAGCACGCGGGAGGCTGCATCGTCCATCCACTGCTGGACGTCTGTGAAAAATAACTTTGTAGTTGATCAGATTCCCTCTCCACTCTATCCCCACAGTGCAACAGTAACGCCTCCACATCACCTCTCGAGCCACTCGAGCGTGTTTTGGTGAGTTCCCTGGCAAGGTTAATTAGTTTAGTTTTAAATTAATGATGCAATCGTCTTAAGATGTATGTTGTTAATTGTCTTTATTTTTGTATTGTTAAAAGTTATATATGTGTGCGTGTGGATGTTTAGGTGAGGAGTATAAGTCGGAATGACTGTCCGGGAGGAAAGCCATTTCCGATTTACGACATTCCCGTTTACGTCTGAAAAACGGAATGTGGAGTGAGTGGCGTAGAATGCGCGTGGTGGTGGTTGATGTTCGTGATGCCCATTTTATGCAAAATGTTCCTTGAGGAAAATGGTCAGAGGAGCGGCAAAGAGGACCGGATTGTCGCAGGATCGCTGCCTGAGATGCAGCAGCTGTGGAGGCAGTGGCGATGGTTCATGACGATTGATGATTGTTGATGACGGTTGATGACGATTGATGAGGATTGATGATGGTAGATGATGGTTGATGATGGTTTATGATGATTGATGATGATCGATGATGGTTGTTAATTATTGATGATGGTTGATGATGGTTGATGATGATGGTTGATGATGGTTGGTGATGGTTGATAATGGTTGATGATTCATGATGATGATGGTTGATCATTGATGATGGTTGATGATGGTTGATGATGGTATATGATGGTTTATAATGATTGATGATGATTGATGATTGGTTGATAATTGATGATGGTTGATAATTGATGATGGTTGATGATGGTTGATGATGGTGTATGATGATTGATGATGATTGATGATGATCGATGATGGTTGATAATTGATGATGGTTGATGATGGTTGATGATGATTGATGATGATTGATGATGATGGTTGATGATGGTTGATGATGGTTGGTGATGGTTGATGAACTCTCATTCGTAATGGACTCCCCCAACCCACCCCATTCATAATTGACTCATTCACTCGCTCACTCACTCATTCACTCGTTCACTCATTCACTCACTCATTCACTCGTTCACTCACTCACTCACTCATTCACTCATCTCTCCCCCCCTGCCCCCCCTCCCTCCACTCTCCCATCTCTCTCCTTAATGAACTAAGAGGACCTGCTGTCGATGTCGCGCTTTGTTTAGGTAAAGGTTGCGTGGTGCTACATTATTTGTGGCAGTGCCGATTGCACTCACTGTTGGTTCGTGGGTCTTTGGCAAGCCGTAAACTGTTGGCAGTTTCGAGGCATTGGTTGGGTCTCGTTCAATTTTAAGGTCGGTACCTCCATCTAGTAAATTTCTGATTTTGTGATCATATTCCCCACCGGACATCACGACTGTTGATGGACCTTTGTGAGCAGCAAGAATAATAATAAGAGTATATTTGTTTGAATTCCCTTGAGGCTTTTGCCTCACTGACAAATCGCACAACCGCAGCTGCCACTGCTCCTGTCGGGAGTCCTAATTCCAACTTCGGGAGTTTGAATTTTACATCGTGGAGGCCGAATTTCGACGCCATGGAATTGAGACTCCTATAACCATAATTAGGGGTCCGGGTCGCGGCTCTCAGGTTAGGGCTATACAGTATAGTCAGGGCTGTCGGGTTGAGGTGGCTATAGGTGCACTGTAGGTTTTACACAAGTCGCGTGATGCACTATTGTGGACAAACGCACAACTCCAGCTGCTGCATCGGACAAAATAACCGAGCAGAGGAACAGCCTCCACATAGCCGCCTCTCCACACAAAGATGCGAGTGGTTCTACGCATCACGTCAGCCGCCTGACTTTCTGAGAGTGCAGCTCATCAGCGGCAGCACTGATACAACATAAGCAACCGGTTTACGGTTTAGGTTAGGGGTTAGGGTGAGGTGTTAGGGTTAGGGGTGAAGGTTAGGGTTAGTTGTTAAGGTTAGGGTTAAGGGATAGTGTTAGGGATATGGATTAGAGTTTAGGGTTAGGGTGTAGGGTTGGGTTTAGAGATAGGTTCAGGGTTAAAGGTTAGTGTTAGGGTTTCGGGTTAGGGTTTAGGGTTTGGTTTGGGTGAGGTTAGGGTTTGGGTTGTGTTGTGTTAGAATTAGGGTTTAGGGTTTGGTTAGGGTTTAGGGTTAGGTTGGGGTTAGGGTTGGGTTAGGGTTCGGGGTTAGGGTTGGGGGTTAGGGTTGGGTTAGGGGTTAGTGTTAGGGGTTAGGGTTAGCATTAAGGTTAGGGTAGTTAGGGGTTATGGTTTGGGTTGAGTAAGGGTTAATGTTTAGGGTTAGGGTTCGGTTAGAGTTAGGGGTTAGGGTTATGGTCAGGGTCTGGGTCAGGGGGTTAGGGTTAGGGGTTATGGTTAAGGGTTAGGGTTAAGGGTTAGAGTTAGGGGTTAAGCTTATGGTAAGGTGTTAGGGTTAGTGGTTAGGGCTTAGGGATAGGGTTAGGGCTCTATTATTTTGACTCACTACTCTCCGGCACATCTGGCAAAAACATTACCAAGCTGCAGCGTGTACAAAATTATTTGGCAGGCATCATGACGGGTACTGGAAAATCCGACCAATGTCTGTCCAGTGCTCACCGAACTGCATTGGCTTCCTGTTGCCGAAGTCATACATAAAAGGTTGCACTCATTACATTCAAAGCACTTACCACAAATTAACCACAATACCTTGCTGACATCATCAAAGAGCTTAAACCATCACGCAAACTCCGGTCATCTTAGCAGCAGCTTTTGGGTAGTCATCGAATAAAGATAGTCTCAGCATTGCATGCTTTCAGATGCACTTCTGCAGCCGTCTGGAATGTTTTTTCTTCCGATATTAGGAAGTCACTGGAGCTACGGATTTTTTTAATCTAGATTGAAAATAAATTTAGTTTAAAACTGCTGTTTATGCTTCGTTTGTTGTCCTCCCCGCACCTCCTATAAGCATGATTGGCTATGTACGGTGTGAAAGAAGTTCAACATACACACCAACATGGACACTCATTAAATAACCTAACCATCATGGACACTCGCCAATTACACTAACCAACATGGACACTCGCTAATAACCAAACCAACATTGACACTCGCTAAATAACCTAAACATCAAAGACACTCGCTAAATAACCTAGCCATCTTGGACACTTGCTAAATAACCAAGCCAACATGGACACTCGCTAAATAACCTAACCAACATGAACACTCGCTAAATAACCAAGCCAACATGGACACTCGCTAAATAACCAAGCCAACATGGACACTCGCTAAATAACCTGACCATCATGGACACTCGCTAAATAACATCACCATCATGGACACTCGCTAAATAACCTCACCATCATGGACACTCGCTAAATAACCTAACCAACATGGACACTCGCTAAATGACCTAACCAACATGGACACTCGCTAAATGACCTAACCAATATGGACACTCGCTAAATGACCTAACCAACATGGACACTCGCTAAATGACCTAACCAACATGGACACTCGCTAAATAACCTAACCAACATGGACACTCGCTAAATAACTTCTCAAACATGGACACTCGCTAAATAACCAAGCCAACATGGACACTCGCTAAATAACCTAACCAACATGAACACTCGCTAAATAACCAAGCCAACATGGACACTCATTAAATAACCTAACCATCATGGACACTCGCCAATTAAACTAACCAACATGGACACTCGCTAATAACCAAACCAACATTGACACTCGCTAAATAACCTAAACATCAAAGACACTCGCTAAATAACCTAGCCATCTTGGACACTTGCTAAATAACCAAGCCAACATGGACACTCGCTAAATAACCTAACCAACATGAACACTCGCTAAATAACCAAGCCAACATGGACACTTGCTAAATAACCAAGCAAACATGGACACTCGCTAAATAACCTGACCATCATGGACACTCGCTAAATAACATCACCATCATGGACACTCGCTAAATAACCTCACCATCATGGACACTCGCTAAATAACCTAACCAACATGGACACTCGCTAAATGACCTAACCAACATGGACACTCGCTAAATGACCTAACCAATATGGACACTCACTAAATGACCTAACCAACATGGACACTCGCTAAATGACCTAACCAACATGGACACTCGCTAAATAACCTAACCAACATGGACACTCGCTAAATAACTTTCCAAACATGGACACTCGCTAAATAACCAAGCCAACATGGACACTCGCTAAATAACCTAACCAACATTAACACTCGCTAAATAACCAAGCCAACATGGACACTCGCTAAATAATCTCAACATCATGGACACTCGCTAAATAACCTAACCAACATGGACACTCGCTAAATGACCTAACCAACATGGACATTCGCTAAATGACCTAACCAACATGGACACTCGCTAAATGACCTAACCAACATGGACACTCGCTAAATGACCTAACCAACATGGACACTCGCTAAATAACCTGACCATCATGGACACTCGCTAAATAACTTTCCAAACATGGACACTCGCTAAATAACCTCACCATCATGGACACTCGCTAAATAACCTCACCATCATGGACACTCGCTAAATAACCTAACCAACATGGACACTCGCTAAATGACCTAACCAACATGGACATTCGCTAAATGACCTAACCAACCTGGACACTCGCTAAATGACCTAACCAACATGGACACTCGCTAAATAACCTAACCAACATGGACACTCGCTAAATAACTTTCCAAACATGGACACTCGCTAAATAACCTGACCATCATGTACACTCGCTAAATAACCTCACCATCATGGACACTCGCTAAGTAACCTCACCATCATGGACACTCGCTAAATAACCTAACCAACATGGACACTCGCTAAATAACCAAACCAACATGGACACTCACTAAATAACCAAACCAATATGGACACTCGCTAAATAACCTAACCAACAAGGACACTCGCTAAATGACCTAACCAACATGGACATTCGCTAAATGACCTAACCAACATGGACACTCGCTAAATGACCTAACCAACATGGACACTCGCTAAATAACCTCACCATCATGGA